TATAAAGCAATTTAAAATAATACTAAATGAGAGTTCATCAAATACTCCCATTAAAACGCAGAGATCGTCACCAAACAAAAAATCAAATAAACAAATAAAAGTTGCATTTACGAGAGACTAGTTTAAATTAAGACACAATAGATTAACATGTAAAAAAAGACAAAATAGATTAAAATCAAAAGCCTGAGAAATGATACACCTGTGAAGTCTCTTGTGGTTAATGAGAACTGAAGCGCTTACGATCAAAGAATAGAAAATAAAGTATAAAACAAAGTGCTACTATAAAAAGAAGAACACTTTATAATAATAAAAATTGAATTTATTGCAGAGATATGACAATGATAAGCACATATGCACCTGATAACAGAGCCTCAAAACTCACAAGGCAAAAACTGCCAGAATGAAGGGAGACACTTGAACAATAGTGGCAGGAGATATCAGTGGCCTTCTCTCAATAATGGACAGAAAAACTAGAAAACCATCAGCAAGAATATAGAATCAGCACACATCGTCAAACAACCTGACAAAAGACCCCCGGAGGTGTGCTTACTGTGTTGTCTCAGATTCTAGATTGGTCTCTCTGGTACGCACTCAGCACAGTGCCAGTTGTATTAACTCTGTTTTCTTATCTCGTGCATTTTTCATGCTCTGGCATTTATGTCCTCTGTGAACGGGGGAAGGACAATCCCTATCCAGGTTAGCAAAGTCTTAGAGACAGCAAAGGGCTCTTCTTTCATAAGCAAATTTTCTAGTGCAGAGTCTACCACCGGTCATCAACTCTCACACAGCAAGCCACTATGCCCCCTGCCCTGAATCCACACCGGGCCAGGTACCAGACAACCAGGCCAGGGCCCACAGCCCACCAGGATTCCTCAAACCCGCTAATCAAAGTTGTTTGCCCTGTCCTGCCTTGTCCTTCTGGTGGAAACTAAGGCAAACACTCTGGTTCCCTCCCTTCATTCCTTTCTGCGTCCTACCCAAACTGCTGCGTCCCTATGTGGTTCTGCGCGGTGTGGTAGGCCCCTTTCTCCTGAAAAATCTCAGTAATAAGTTCTTTCTATGTTGTCACCGCTGAGTCACACACATAAATTAAAATCCCGAGGGTACAAACGCTGGTACAACAGAACAGACCACTGAATGGTAGCAGCATATGCACTGCCCCTCAGGTGCCCCTGGGAGCTTCTCCAGGGGAGACCATGCCTCGGGCGGCAGGACAGGGGACAGAGGCCCTCCAGCTCAGATGTCCCTCAAACCTTCTTTAGGGGAGACCACGTCCCGGATGATGGGACAGGGGACAGATGCCCTCTAGGTCAGGTGCCCCTGGAACCAGGATAGGCATCTATCATGAAGATCATTAGAAAGTGCTTGGGGCTGGATGAAGACGAAAACCGAGTGTCAGTAGTAATGGGATACGGGCAAATCAGCATAAAGGGAAATATATAGGCTCGAATGTCTGCGTTGGGACCTTTCATCAACTTTAAGAAACGGAGGTAAAGACACGCGATTATAAGGAGGCATCTGAATACAAAAATAACATGATTTAAAAGGGATCAAACCCAAAGTGATCAAAACTGAGGGAATCATGACAAGGGTGGAAATCACTGAAATTTAAAAAAAAAAAACACATAAATTAATTAAAAAAACCCCCAGAGAATACAAAATGAAACAGGAAGTTTTTCTTTGAAAACATCAAGATCATTTTGACAAAATGTTAATTTTACCGACCAAGGAAAAAAAAAAAGGAAAGACGCAAATGAGGACCGGAGGAGGAGAAACGCTCCTCGGGGAGTGGCGAACCTGAGCGCACGGCGAGCGGCAGCCGCGCGGCAAGGGCGGCAGCAGGAGGCGCACCCGCTGCGGCGGCCCGGCCCGGGACGCGCCCCTGAGACGCCCGATTCTAGGCGTGAAGGTCGGCGGCCGCACCGGGTCGCCGGGAGGGGGTGTGGCTACGCGGGGTAGGGTCCGTGCGCAGGCGCAGGGCGCGGACTCGCGCGGGCGCACGAGCCAAGGGACGTGCGGGCTCAGGGCGCGCGGAGCCCGGAGGGATGTGGGACACGCGCGTCTCCGAGGCGGAGTGGGGGGACGCGAGGACAGGAGCATCTCGGAGGGACCCGGGCGGCGTCCAGAGCTACGGAGGATGCGGGCGGTGCAGAGGGAGGCGACGGGGTGGGGGAGCCTGGGCGGCGCGGGGCACTAACGCGGGGTGCAGGGGCGGTGGCGGGGCGGTGGCTCGCGGCGCAGGTGCGAGCGGGCTGTCCTCCCCCGGACCTGGCCCTGCGGACTTTGGGGGAGGAGGGTGCATTCATGCGGGCGCGGCGGGGGCGGCTGAGGCCCGGGCGCGGGCGGGCTCCACGCCGGGAGGGACCCCACCGACGCGTGCGGAGGCTCCCAGTGTACGCGCGCGGCTGGCCAGGTGCGATCGGACCAGGCGGTGCTCGCGGGGACCCCGCCCTGCTTTCCCGAGGCCTGGCCGCGGGTGCAGCGGGACATCTCTCTCCTCCCGGCTCCGCTGTCGGATTAGACGCAGTAAGGGGACTCCGGTGCGGGAACAGAGGGACTTTTGTCTGTAAAGACCGCCTTGTGCTTGCTCTACTGACCCGTGCGGAAGGGGCTGCATTGGGTCTGGCTGTACGTTTTGCTTTTGCCATACTTCCTGATGCCCTAAAATTAGGCGAGAGTAAGCGCCTGGTCCCGAATATTGTCTTCTTTCCACTAATCCGGACGCAGAAGGCCTAGTCCTCTTACTGCCCTGCTTTCTCTCCCATCTCCCCGTCTGACGACAGAGGCCTCGGGAAGTGGGCAGCGAGAAGCCAGGCTTGGGGCACTTCAGGAAGTGGTGAGCTGCATGTAGGCTTATTTTTGAAAGCCTCTAGATCGCTGGGCACATCCCACAGATCCTGGCTCCGCACTTAGGTCCTTGCTTTATCCACCCCCAGGACCCACACCTGCCAGGGTAGACATCTCTGAGGGGTCATCACCCACCCCTCATGGGGGGGGCGTCAGTTTCCCAGTCAGGAGGGTGCATGCTCCTGGGGTCTGTCCACCATCAACAACAGTGGAAGGCACCCCTGGGTCCTGGAGTCGAGCAGGTAGAACACATGGGAAGAGCCAACGTGGGAATTTAGGGTGCATGGCTGTGAATATGCGTCCCTGAAGCTTATACTGGTTCTCCCTGCTGAAGGTTGGCAGGACACACCAGCTGAAAATAGCCTGCCTGGGCAGGATTATTACTTCCAGCTGGAGGCAGGGGAGAAGCAGGTGTCCCTCCTCCACCTCCCTAACAGCAGGACAAAGATTCGGGTGTCCCTGTCCTCCTCCTCCATGCCAGGGAGGACCACTGGCCACAGTAGAGAACTGTGTCCATTGGCCTGGACACCGCACTGGGGGAATCTACAGGATCCTATGAACTGGCCTTCCTCCACCACAGTCTACCTCCACGTGGCTGACGCCTTAAAGCCTAACGCCAACCCCCGTGTCCCGAGATGCGTCTACAGCATCCTGTTGAACACACGAAACTGCGTCCCAAGCTGCTGCTCCCAGTTCCTCCCTTTCCTCAGGTTACGTTCCCCCCACCCCCCATACATGAACTATGGGGGTCGGGACCTCATGTTTCTACTGATCTTGTATTACGGGGCTCTCCGTGAAGGCCTCAGGAGGGTGGAGAGTTCCCAGACTTGCACTGGCGCCCAGTGTGTCCTCAAGCTGTGGCCAGAGGGTCTGTCCTGGTGTCCTGCACGTGGCTGTGCGGGCTCCTACCCATGAAGGTGTCCCACCAGCTGGGTTTCCGGTGGCCATTGTGCAAGCCCCAAACCCTAATGGCCGGATCTTGGCCTGGGGAAAACAGCCAGTATTGCCCAGATCTGGGAAGCGAGGCAGAGGGAAGGGGCTCCGGGAGGGGTGGGCAGCACCGCCAGAAGCCAGCTCCACGTTGGGGTGGGGAAAGCACTGGGCTTTGTCTGTACCTGGAAGGAAGTGCTGAAGGCAGAACGGGGTGTGCACATACAGAGCTGCAAAAACCCCGGAATGGGACAAAGATCATGGAACCGAGTACTTGGGAGAGTACCTAGTCACTGAACACAGTGGCCCATGCAGAGTAATTTTCTGGCTTTCTGGGAAAAAAAACCAAGGAAACAATTCCCCAGGACTATGCGTGAAAGGAACATGCAGAAGAGCGCCCCGACCTTGCCCTTGGGGGTCCTGCCTGTCCCCGCAGCCTTCCCTGCCCCTGCATTTCCCCCCTCCTCCAGCGGCAGACAGTGCGCTGCAGACAACCTCCGTTTATTTCCTGCAAGAACGGTCCCTACAATAAATAAATCTCAGAGTACAAAGAAGCAGAGGCACACCTTTGGCAAGGGAGACAAAACGTGAACAAAGCAGACAAATCCCAGACTCTAACGAGGTGTGTATGGTGGGGGCTCTCTGAGGCCTCACCTGTCCCCAGGCAGAGCAAGAGGGACAGGGACCAGGTGTGCTGAGTTCTGGGACAGGCGGCTCCCTGGCCAGCGAGGAGAGAATGTGAGGGCGACTCGAACGGGGGGGGGGGGGGTTTCCTCTGCGTGGCTCGGAGAGGAACCGGGGGCTTCAGTGCCTGCTCACCCTGGGTGCCCACATACTAGCCCTAGCTGAACCTTTGTGATGGGGCCCAAAGCCCCGAGGGACAGGTGTTGGGAGGAGATGGTGCTTGGGTGTCCTGCTCTCCCCATTCTTGGGCCTGTCTGCCAATCACCCAAGCCCACCCCGCCCCCGCTTCTCCAGGAGAACTGCACACAGGTGCGTGGGCTGGGAGCTGCCTCTGGCAGCCGCTTTCTGGAGCAGCAGCTCCAGGGCTGTGGGAGTGGGGTGGGGGCACAAAGGTCAGGACCTCACGCTGGGAGTGGGGGCGTCCCCCTACACGCACACACAGGGACACACCTCCGGGAGCGAGCGTGCATCCGCGCATGTGGTCCGCACAGAGTGCTCCCCCACCTCAGAAGACAGCAGGAACCACCCGGGAGCCCGGCGGCAGCAGGGAGGCCCCTCACTGTGGAGCCAGGGAGTCCCCAGGCCCGCCTTTTGGCCTGCAGATGGTCATGGGGGTCGGGCTGCTGGACAGAGGCGAGAAGAGGGCCCGCAGGGTCCCCGAGAAGGGGGTCTCAGGGAAGGCATACAAGAGGGAGCCGTCGGCGGCGCTGTAGAAGGACAGGTGTCCGGCCTCATAGTCCAGGAAGACGCCCACGCGCCGGGGCGGGTCCCGCAGGGGAGTGAAGGCCCGCTCTGACGAGTTATAGTAGCTGCCCAGGAACACCAGGATCCAAAAGCCGTTGCCCGAGAACAGCTCGCCCTTCTCTTTGCGGTTGGCGTTCTCCCTGCAGACCCCTAGCGCCCAGCTGGCCCGCTCCCCCACTTCCACCTCCCAGTAGTGGCGGCCGGAGGTGAGGGGCTCCCGGCCCAGCACGCAGGGCCCGGGGTCGAACCGCTCAGGACTGTCGGGCAGCACCTGCCGCAGGTCCCCCCGGCGCACACTCCTCCTGTCTTCTGACAGGACCAACTCGGGGTTGGCGGTGTCAGGGTCCAGGGTCACGTCCCCTGCAGGGCGAGCAGACACCCCCTGTGAGCGGGCGCCCTCTCTGAAAATGTCCCCTAATGGCTTGTCCCCGCCATGTCTCCGCCACTCGGAAGGTCCTGGAAAACAGCCCATGCCCCCTGGCGACGCCTGCTGCCTTAGAGCTAAACGCTTCCTACAACTGCCTCCCCACATCTTGTGGTACCTGGAGGCAGGCGGCAGGGCGCAGGTCTGGCGTCCACGCAGGTGCCCCAGCACTAGTTGAACCCTCCCTGGTGGGGGGTATCTCACCTCTGCACTTTCTGCCTAACAGCCCCCCACACTGGGTTTCCCTGAAGCCGGAGCCTGGGCTCGCTCCAATTACAGACCCACCTCGGAATCTGCGCAGGGCGTCCACCAGCCCCGGAACCCTGCACACTGTCCTCATCTCCATCGGCACCAGCTCCGGTGGCTGCAGCTTCACATCCTGGACCCTGCAGGGGCAGTGTGGGCATCACCCCGAGGGTGGCCTCGCCCTGCACCCCACCCACCCACCTGCCCTGGGGAGAGGCCGCAGCTCCTACCTTCGCAGGGTGTCCCTGATGTCCTGTGGGAGAGACACACGCGGGGTCAGTGCCTGGCCCCGAAACCTGGACCTCCCCACATCCTGGCCACCAGTGCCCCCAGAACCTCGCTCTGCCCGACACACGTGATCAGAACCCACCCGTGGGCTGCCCCCCAGTGCAGCTCAGACAAGGGTACCCTGGAAAGACTCTGGACACATCCAGCCCTGCAGACCCAGCCTCATTCCCTCAACACACCTGGAGGATGAAGGGCGTTGGCTATGGGCTCACCCGCCCAGAGTCCCCAGCACCCCTGCAGGGTGGTACAGGTGGGCGGGGCCCTGGGCCCCCAGCAGCGAGCCATGCCTGTGCTGGCCTGGGGCTTCCTACCTCCCAGGGCTCACAGGTACTTGGCTGTCTGGGGTCTGCGGCCTCACCCGGTCCCACGGACCTGCCCACCTGCCCTCCCGGAGGCCCCCAACTCACACCCACCTTCCAGGTGAGGCCTCTCCACTTGAATGCCCCGCTCTCCCATAGGACACAAACAAGCATCTCCCTCAGCATCACGGACTGATTGTGTCCCTTGAATCTAAATGCCGGCAACGTCCAACCCCCAGGACCTCAGAATGGGGCTGTGGTTGGAGATGGGGTCTTTACAGAGGTGGCTAAGGTTTAAAAAGGTCACCAGGGTTGGCCTGGATCCTGCAGTCCTTCTCAGAAGAGGACATGGAGCAAACATACACACAGGCAGCCAAGGGCGTGAAGACACCAGGAAGGGAGACCTCTCCAGAAAAATTAGCTCCACCCAGGCCTGATCTGGGACTTCCAGACTCTAGGGCCAGGAGACAACACCTGTGTTGTTTAAACCCCAAAGCCTGTGCTATTTGTTATGCAGCCCGAGCTGACTAGGACATCCAATTACTTAAAACACTAGCTGCTGGGGCGCCTGGGTGGCTCAGTGGGTTAAAGCCTCTGCCTTTGGCTCAGGTCATAATCGCAGGGTCCTGGAATCGAGCCCCGCACTGGGCTCTCTGCTCAGCAGGGAGCCTGCTTCATCCTCTCTCTCTGCCTACTTGTGATCTCTGTCAAATAAATAAATAAAATCTTAAAAACAAAAAAAAACATACTAGCTGCTGATGGGAAGTCTTTGGACTTTGTAGAACCACCCCTGAGAAGGGCTGGGACCTGGCTGGTCCACACGGTCAATCACAGGCAGCTCACCCACGGTGATTCCAACCACACGCCCACTATCAGGCCAGACCTGGGGATGCAGAGGTAAGGCGGGGTCCTACAGAGGGCTTCCCTTGAGGAGGGAGATCTGCACACACATGACTGATGGCCTGTGTGTGGGCTGGTTGGCGGGAAGGTAGGACAAGACAACGGCAGGCCTCAAAGGAAAAAGGAAACTGGAGGCTTCTAAAGATACAGTGAGAGGGCCAGTGCAGGACTGGAAGAGACAAGTGCAAAGGGCCCGGGGCACAAGGAGCTTGGTGCGGGCAGTAGGCAAAGCAGAAACAGCCTGTTCTTGGTAGTTATGCAGGGTGGGTGGCCCACCCCAGGGCACTGAAAAGTGACAGTCCAGACCCACTCAGGAACAGTGTGTGTGGATACATTGCACAAGACCCTCTGTGATGTGAAGGTTATGCAGGGGTCCGGACCTTAGGGAAAGAGCTTGGGCTCCATGTACCCTACCCAGCCCCTTTGGGAGACACACGTTTCTTTAGGAAAAGGCTCTCCACCTACACAGGGTGGCTATAGGGCAAGCCTGGAAGGGAAGCTGGGATGCAGGGGTGTGGCCACCTGGAAGTCACCCAAACCTGCACTTCCTCTGTCTGAGAGCACACCCCCCTGCTTGCCCCAGGTACCAGATGCCTAGCCACTCCCTGGGGCGGGCCTCTACCTAACACAGGCCAGATGCTTATGGGCACACCTGACCTCCCTTATTCCCACCAGTAAACAGGGGGCTGCCCAGGGCTGCTCTCCTGCCCTTCTATGTGGCAGACCTCACCTCTACCCCCAGCACAGGCAAGGGGAGCCCTGGGGCTGGGGGAGGAGGGGAGGAGGGAAGGGTCTCCCTCGCCACCCAGGCAGAGACCCAGGGCAAGGTGCTGTGAGCAGATGGGAGCAGTGAGGGGCAGTGGGGGCACAGATGGTCACTGTTAATACAAACTCCAGGAGGGCAGCCGGCCAGCCAAGACCACCCACGCACTGGGACATCTCAGGGAAGACCCCCAGATCCCGCTTCACGCAGCCCTGGGATTCTCATCTCTCCTGCGGGGCCAACCTCGCCTCTTTCCAGAACCTCCAGTTCTCTGGCTTCTCCAGCAGCATGCACTTCTCCTGACTATCTCGATTGGCCACCCAGTCCCCACCTCACTGACCACAGCCTACTCTGTCCACCTCCCTCACTTCCTGCCAGACTCTCGCCTGGGGTTCTTCCTCTTTCCTAGACTGGAATCCACTGGTGGTCTCGGCAGTGGGGTGAAGGACCAAGTTCAAACCCCAGGAGAGCAGCCAGGAGCCTCTGCTTGGTCCCTGAAGATCCTCCAGGCTTTGGGACTTCCACCCTGTGGGAGGTGCCCTGGGCTGCACAGCGGCCTCACTCCCACCTAGGGCCAAGAGTCGGGAGCCACGCGGAGCCTCCGGAGGACATGGAGCCGATACAGGACTCCCATGGGACACCTGCTGGCCTTTCTTCTCCATATACTGGGCCTCTGGAGCCAGCCTGGTGACCCACGGACCCTGGATGCCACCAAGCAGCGGCATCCAGGACAGGCAGCCATTGCCGGTAGAGTTCAGGGTCGGTACCCACTCCCCGAGACCCGCAAGCACACCTGCAGAGGCACACCTGGGATCCCTGCCCTAGCTCCCCTGCCGCAGCTTGCCTAGGTGGGCGAGCCCGGACTGCCGGGGCTGCCCCAGGACCCTGCCTCACCCGGAGGCCCCACAGGCGCACCCCCGAGTGCAGAGCGGCTCACCTGCAACAGCCCCAGCGCCGGCAGCTGGCAGCGCCCCTCCAGCTCAGCAATGAGCTCGGCCAGCCGGGCGCTCTGCTGGCCCAGGCGGGCAGCGCTGTCCCGGAGCGGGGGCAGCACCTCGAGCTCCTCCTCCTCGAGCCTCTGCAGCAGGCGCTGCTCCTCCTCGGCAAGCAGCCGACGCAGCCGCTCGAACTCTGTCAGCACATTCTGCCGCTGGCTGTCCACCATCTTCTGCAGGGGGAGACTGGAGGGCTCAGGTCCTGTCCGCCCCGTACCCCAGGCCCTGCCCCGCCCCCAACGGGGTTTCCCCGCAGGGTGCAGAACCCTGATGCCTCTGCAGGAGCAGCACAAGGCCCAGGACCGCTGTGTCCCTCCGCAGGGGCTCAGGGGCCGGCCACTCCCCACCCGCGACCTCAGGCACTGGGCCACCTGCCTGCCACAAGGCACAGGTCTCCTCAGCCTGGGCCTGGAACAGCAGTGCGTCCTCCATTTGCTTCCGCAGGTGCTCCAAGGACTTCTCCAGCTTCCCCTGCGGGACAGTGAGACAAGAGCGATCTCTGCAGTGTGGGCCTGGGCCCTATTCCAGTCAACGGTCAACCGTGGCTGAGCCGGAGGTCAGCTGGCAGGAATCGCAGTCCTGGGCATGACACGCAGACAACCTCAAAGGAGCCAGCGAGGGCGACAGCCCAGAACCCCAGGCCCCTTGCCTGTATTTCGTCTCCTAACCTCCCCCGAATCCCGACCCCCATACTTCTCCAGGCCTGCCCTGGGCTCTCAGGAGGGTCCTGGCCTGCGCAGCTCCATCTGGACTTCTAGCTGGACCCAGGCCTGAGAGGTGGTGCTTTGGGGAGTCAGCACCCCAGGGCATGCGAATGCCAGGCACAGCCCTGGGTAGGGGGAGGGGCAGGTAAAGAGTCCCTTTGGTATCCCAAGGACAAAGAGCAGCTAGGCACCAGTGGAGTGAAGGTGGTCGGAATGTGCCTCCCCAGAGTAGGCCACCTGCACACCAGGACTATTTGGGACTGAAGGAAGTGGGGAACAGCAGACACAGGAAGGGCCCTCTGCCCTCCTCCTTTCTGCCTCTCCCTATCTGTACCAGAAAGGGGGAGAGCACTCAGCAAAGACGACTCTTCCTCACAGATGAGTCTGACTGAACAGACTTTGGTACTGAGACAACCCTGATTTTCCATCAGTTTCCAACCCCTCCCATATTCCCTACTTCTCTCCGGCCAAGGAAGCCCAAATCTCATTTTTGTCTAGGTGCTTCTCCCCAGTTTATCATTCGATGTTAAAATGCAACATAAACTCAGTCTAACTGCGTTTTTCACTTCTCTGTGAAGCCCCTTGTAGCACATGAGACTTAAAAGACTAGTAAAACTATGCATTTTTTCACTCGTTACTCTGCCTTTGTTAATTTGCACACCTCATACAGGAACCTAAGAGGTTAGACAAAAAGGTTAGGGGTAAGTGCAGCCCCAAGGAGCTGTTTCAGGCCAGCTGCGAGGAGCTTTCTCCCGCTCCAAGCTCCATCCCGGCCAACGGTCAGTCCCACCTGCCCGGTCCCCTGCAGACTCCCACCACGGTAAGTCGCAGCAGGACCGGCCCCTCCCAGAGAGCACGGCTCTCCCCGATCTCCAGGCTGGGGCCCCACAGGAGGGTGCGGGTTTGGGACTGGCTGCACGCAGCTGGGAGCGAGGGCCCCGCATTCCCCACCCCAGCCCGGGCCCCCGGCCAGGCCCGGCCCCGCACCTTGAGGTCTTCCGCCGCGTCCTGCAGCGGGCGCACGCGGTGCGTCCAGTGCTCCCCCGAGCGCTCGCAAGCCGCACACAGTAGGCGCAGCTCGTCGCCGCAGAAGGCAGCCAGCGGCTCGCGGTGCGCGGCGCACACACCCTGCGGGACGGGCGACGGCGGGTGCAGGCGCCGCGCCATCTCGGCCATCTTGGCGAGCGGGCGGTTGGGCCGCAGGTTCCTCTGCGGGGACAGCTCGCGGCACTCGGGGCAGGCGTACGGGCCCTCGGGCTGGCCCCAGCAGCGCCGGATGCACTCGCGGCAGAAGTTGTGGCCGCAGTCGGTCATCACCGGGTCCGTGAAGTAGTCAAGGCAGATGGCGCAGGTGGCTTCCTCCTGGAGGTTGGTGGACAGGTCGGGGGCGGCCATGGCGCGGCCGGGGCGGAGGAAGGCGGCGCTGTCGGTCGTGGGCCTCCGCGGCCGGGATCTGACAGCGCGCGGGGCGGCGGGGGAGCGGGGCTCGGGGAGCCCGGAACGCGGGCGCACGGCTCCCTGCGCGGACCGGAAGAGGAGCCGCGGCGGAAGCAGGAAGCAGCTGGTTTTTTTTTTTTTTTGGAACAACCCGCTTCCGCCCCGGATTGGCTGCGGCCTGTCATGCGGCCCGCGGGCCGGACAGCATTGGAGGCTGTTCGCCCGCCGACCTCGCGGCGGCGCTGCCGCGGCCCCCGAGTGCGCTGGGAGCCCTGGGCTCACGTCGGCCTCTCGTCCTGACCCGCTGCCCACCCGGGCGGCTGGGCGCCCGGCGGGTTCACTGGGTTCCCCACGCAGCACAGCGACCGCGAGGACCAGGGCGCCCTGCGGCTGCGCTGCCGAGCCCTAAGCCGTGTCCCGTGCGCCCCTGGACCGGGCACGAGCAGGATGCGAGCCGGGAGAGGCCCTGCCTCGTCGGGGAAGGCACGCACGGACTGCGGTTCTGGGGTACCCGGCCTGCCACAGGGCTGTGAATGCGCCTGAAAGTGCAGAGAGCGGCGGGTGGAAAGGAGTCCCTCCCGCCGTGACGCCTACTCTGAACTGCGCCCGGGCTTGTGCGACACAGGGCCGGAGGGCTCCGAGGGTTTTAGGGATTCGTTTTCCCACCGCCGCCTCCTCCCTCCCTCCTTTGCTGCAAGGTGCAAACACCGAGTGTTTGGAAGACAAAGCAGGTGGACCCTGGAGGCCGTGGCTCTATGTGTACAACCCGGAGCACGGCGGGGCTCGTCCTCTGGCTCCATTCCTGGGTGGGCACACGTTTCCCGGAGCTAGCGCATCACATGCGCCTGGGGCGGGATGTCCTTCCTTGGAATCGGTCCACTAGGGAGCTCCGCGGCTGTCCACGTTTCCTTCATGAAATGCGTGCGAATATCGCCTCTTATCATTAACTGCTTTAATCGGGATTACGTTTCATTCTAGTGAAAGTGCCTTGCACGGCTGGGGGCTCGCCAAGGTGCCAGCAGACAGAAAGAAACCTGGCAGGGGGCCTGCGCTGAGCTGCGCTGTCCCACCTTCCCAGGAAACACCGGCCGCCCACACTGCCCCAGCCTCTGCCCCTAGCCCTTCACCCACAGGGTCACTGTAGAGATGACCATCTGGCCTGATTTGGGGGCCCCGAGGCAGAAGAACGGCTGCAGGGGGCCGGAGAATTCACGCTGGGCGTAGGTGTGCAGGTGGGAGCCATCCCTCAGGTTGTAGAAGGACACCTCCCCCGCCTCGAAGTCCAGGAAGACCCCCACGTGGCTGGGGGGCTCGGCCAGCGTGACCGGGGTTGGGGCGGCCATGACGGGCAGGTACTTCTTTCCCTTGCACAGCTGCACCACCCAGAACCCATTTTCGGGGGACTTGGGGACCTTGTCCCTGCGGCTCACGTTGTCCCTGCACACGCCCAGTGCCCAGAGTGCGTCGCCTGTGAGGTTCATGCCCACCTCCCAGTAGTGCCTGCCGGAAGAGAAGGTCTGCTGGCCCACGGCACAGGGGTAGGCCAGGAATCGGTCCTTGCTGGGGGGCACGGCCCCCAGGGGCGGCGTCAGGTAGCGCCTCTGCCGGCTCTCATACAGCAGGAGGTAGGGGTACGCGGTGGTGGGGTCGGGCACCACATCCTCTGCAGACAGGCCCGGGCCATGGGGAGAGGGCTCCGGTCATCCCTGCTGTCCCCCACCGGCCCCCAGGCCTCCCCCAGGAGACTGGGTCCCTGTCCCTATTGGTGGTGCTATGGAGAAGGAGCCAGGGGTCCGTGTGGGCATCTCCACCGGGGTTACCACAGGGACACAACGGAAAGCACGCCCTGGAGCAGCAGGTCGGGACAACTGTCGCCCCCATTGCGGGCTCCCTCCGAGTGACCAGGGGTGGGGCGGGGAGTCGTCCAGTGCCCCTGGGCCCCTGCATACCTTGAAAACTCTTGAGCACCTCTATCTGCCCGGGGACCCTGCAGACGGTCCTCAGCACGGTCGGGGTGGCCTCCGGGTACTGGACACTCAGGTTGTTCTTCCTCCGGTGGACACAGGTCTCACTGTCCCCGCGGGCCCCAGACGGAGCCCTCCCTGTGCCCATCATTGCCTCCCCGCAGGTGGCCGCCTACCTGCTCAGGAGCTCCTTCATGTCCTACAAAGCAGGAAGGGGGCAGCGGGGAGGGAGACGGGCAGGACCTCGTTAGGGTTGGGGCGTCATGTCTGCATTTCTGGTCTGCAGAGCTGGAAGGACTTCGGGGTGCCTTCCCAAGACCCTGTACCCACTTGTGGGCCATCCCCCTGTCATGGGGCACACACTCCACCTCTGGCCACCAGGCCTCCTGCTCTCCCCCCTTGGAAGCTGTTGGCTCACGAGGGACAGCGGTGGGGGGACGTGACCCGCGGCCATCAAATGGGGCCTTTGGGACTTTAGCCCAGCCTTGAGTGAGTCAGACGTCCGTGTACTCTCCTGCAGACCAGCTGCTTTTTAATAGTAGACAAAGCGCTCCCTAACATTTGGCCAATTGTCTAGTCTGTCATCCGCAGGAGGGGCTTTCCTGGGCACAAAGCCCGCGGGAGGTCAGGACAACAGGCAAACGTGGGGATTGACTCAGACATACAGGATGCCCAGCGCCCGGCAGGCGGCCTCTGCCTCCGGTGTGTAAACATGCCCGTGCATGCATGTGTGTGTGTGCGTGCCTGCATGCACACGTGGGGAATCCTGTCTGCTGCCAGGGATTCCATCGCTCCCCGTGCTTGACACCTGTCCCACTTGTGGGGCACCACAGCCCCCTGTGGTCAGGCCCTCATTGGGCTGCCTGGGCCCTGCCTTTGTTCCTGTCCTGCTGGCAGTCGCATGACTCCCTCCTGCCTGCAAAGTCATGGGTGCCTATCTGGGCCAGTGTGTCTCTGCCCCACCTCACCACGTTGACCACAGCTGCCCCAGGCCACCTCCCTGCAGGCCTGGAGCCTGGGCACACTGTCTTCCTAATGCACACGCCTCAGCCCCAAGCCCCAGAGCCTCCGAAGGCGCCTGTACTTGGAGATGAGGTCTTTACCGAGGTGGTTATGGTGACTAGGGTGGGCCCTGATCCCGTAGGATGGATGCCCCTGCAGCAAGAGGAGATGTGCACCCAGAAACACACAGAGAACACAGTTTCCAGAGTGTGGTGGTTATAACGTTCACCTCACACGCAGAGAACACAGCTGTCTGTGACGGCGAGGAGAAGCCTGCCGAGGAGCCCGCGCTGCCCACCCGGGGAACGCAGACTCCCAGCCCCCAGGCTCCCAAGAGGATATACGTCCGTCCGCTGTGTGAGCCTCAGGCCTGTGGTCTTTGTCACTCAGCCTTGGCTGACCTTGTCAGGGCCTTTCCTGCCGTGGTGGGGGCGGAGGTACAAGGACAGCGCACTTGGGCCTGATCCCCTCCCCCACGCCCAGGTGACCAGGGATGCTGAGCTCTTTCCCCTCCCCACCAAGGCCAGCAGGGGTGCTGAGATCTTTCCCTTCCCCTGCCAGGCCAGCAGGGGTGCGGTCGACCCTCACCTGCAGCATCTGCAGGGGTGTGTGCTCGTTCTTGTCCTCCAGCTGCAGCAGCAGCCTCTCCAGGGCGTGGCTCTGCCTCTCCAGGGTGGTCGAGCTCTCCTGCAGCTTGGCCACCACCTCCTCCTCCTCCTCCTTCAGGGCCTGGAGGACGCGCTGCTCCTCCTCCACAAGAAGGAGGCCCATCTTTTGAAACTCCACCAGGATGCGCTGTCTCTGCTCCCTAACCTTCACCTGCAGGGGGTTGGGGGGGCAGACGTGAGGACCTGCTGCCAGCGATGTCCTCTCCCTTCCTGGCCGGCTGCACCTACCAGCTTGGGTGCTGGCCTCCTCCTGGCCCTGGGCCCTGATGACCCACAGAAAAGTCCTCCTGGGAGGGGTGGGAGCATTCGTGGGGTCACCTGGGGGGTCGCCACCACCTGCGTGCCCTCATTCCTGTGTCTGTGACACGGCCAGCCTGTGCTGACCTCAGGTTCTCCGTCCTGATTCTGGTGGGGCTCTGAGCTTGGGATCTGTGTTCGCAACCTCCGTACCCCTATCGAGGGCTCATGCAGGCCCTGCAGGGGCTCTGGGGCCACAGGCCAGGCTCTCCCACCCCACAGGGCTGCTGTGAGCACCCACCCTGGCCCCCGGCACCTGCCTGCCACTCAGCCAAGGCCTGTTTCTCCCTGGCCTGCAGCTTCCCCGTCTTCATCAACTCCTCCTGGAAGTGCCCCATGTCCGCCTCCAGCTTCAACTGTGGGACACACAGGCTGCAGGATTGGGGTCCAAGTCCCCTCACTCCTGGGCATCTGGGTGATGCCCCCAGAGGCTCACCCCCCAGGAACACCATGAGGGGGGCTGCGGGTGGACACATGCCTCCCAAAACATGCCCCTTTGTCAAGAGGGCTGCTTGGGCTGGAGCCAGCTGAGGATGATCAGCCTCAGAAAGACACCTTCCCAGGCCTGCCCTCTCCTGACTATGGATCCAAACTGCTGAGCAGTGAGCGGTGCTATGACCCCCCTCTCCTGGGAAGTTTCACGGTTGAACAGGCAGGAGGACCATGGGGGGTGATGAGGTCACCAGCGTGGAGCCCCCCACACCGGGATTCGTGCCCTCGCGCCTCCTGCCCAGTGCCCAGCGAGGTCACAGGGCAGAACCAGCCGCCGGGAACCGATGCTGCTGGAGCCCTGACTGGAGGGACCTGGGCAGGGCCTCCATCAGCCAGGACTTCCCAACAGCTGTGACCCAGCCCCCTGCGTTGTCGCGGGAGCGTGTGGACACTTCGGTCACATGGTGCCACACTTGGGCTGTCCCCTGTAGTAGCCGTTCTCCCGCCAGCCTCCTGACGCATGCACTTGGCCTCCGTGTGCACCCCCTCCCCCGAGCCCGGACGCACCCTGTACTCCTGCACGGCCTCCTCTATGGGGACCACCCTGTGGGGCCGGTGCACCCGGGACTCCCTGCAGACGACACAGATGGGGCTCTGGTCGTCCTCACAGAA